GACCATAAAATCATACTTTGTGTCCTATTTCATGGTTAAGTCTCGAATTTGGAAGTCAAATAAGCTATACAAAGAGGTTAGGAAGTTACCTTAAGGATTTGAGGCCTTAAAATTGAGTTTTGGACCCTAAATCTTGGATTTTAGGAGAGAGGTTAGAGAGAGAGTAGAGAGAGAGAAGGAAAAAGGTTCATATGAAAGGTTTAACACGTTTATATAGTTCCCAAAACTTGGACGCGGTGGAATTCTACCCGATATCGGCATTAAACGGGGCTTTAGGTCGCACCCGATTAAGTTACCGTCACCCGGCGGGAATGTTTCTATCTTTTTGAAATGAACACTTTTTGGGTTAATTTCATGAGTTCCAAGAGGTTTGGACACTCAGTCAATTATAATAACATATAATTTAATTTTTGTTTTTAATTAATTAACCTGAAGCGAGAATGAAACGAATCGATTGACGGCGAAGTCTCACGGGTAGAATAAGTTTTCGACGATGGAAAACTTCGAGTTGTTACACCATGGAAGGAAGTTACGGCACCATTTGACCTCCTTAGAGGAGTTTACGGCCAAGGGACCATTCCTTGGTGGGTTTACAGCCATAATCTCCTGAGGTCATTGTTTCCTTGATGTTTAACGTCCCTACTTCGATGGTGGTTGGTTGTAGACATTATTGCAAGCCATAGGAGGTGTTTAAGGGGCAATTTAACACCTTAAATGGTGGTTACGGCCTATGAAGGAGTGTTTACGGTCCAAGAATGATCTTGGGCCGTAAACTCATGTTTACTCCCCAAATAATTTTTTTTTGGTGTTCTAAGCTCGTACATGTAAGCCCCTAAGTCATAGCTAAGCACCAGAAGTGATTTGGAAGGGTTTTGGGGCTTCAAAAACCCATTTATGGGTGTTTGCAGTTTGGGGTTGTTCATGGGCCGTAAACACATGTTTTTAATACTTTTGGATGATTTAAACACGGATTTGTATGCTAAACAAGCTAAAGTATAAGCTAGGATAGATCACTTACCAATTTGGAGCTTGAAAGGGGTGGTTTGGATCAAAATATGGCTTGTAGAGATAGAGTAGTGAGAGAGAGTGTTAAGAGTTTGAAAAAGCTTCAAATGAAGGTCCACTCACCCTTATATAGGGTTTGAGTTTGTGGCCCGGTGGAAATCTACCCAATACCGATGTTAAACGGAGCTTATGGTCGTACCCGATTAAGTTGTCGTAACCCGACTTAGTTGTAAATTAGACATCTTTTTAAAAGAATCCAAGGGTGTTTCATGTGTTTCTAATATGTTTGGACACTCATGAAGTCATAATAAAAGTCATAATTTAATTAACCTAATTCAAAATGTTAACGGAAAAATTGAAATACAGCTGGGTTTTATTAATGGAAACAGGTTATAGTGACGTAATAATTTTCAGGTTGTCACAACATGAGACAATATTGTTAAGAATGCTTCTGGTAAAAGACTAGCTAAAGGCGCTTCCCCCAGGAAAAGTCACCACTTTTGCATAGATGCATGAAGAATTCCTCCATCAATTTTGCCCACCATCCAAGGTTGCTAAACTTAAAAAAGCCATAGAAAATTTTGAGCAACAAGTGAGGAGTCTTTATATGAGGCATGGAAACGATATAAAGGGTTAATAAGGAATTGTCCTCAAAATGATCTAAACGCGCAACAAGAAGTCTCGATCTTCTATGATGGGGTGAATGTAATGACAAGGAAACTCCTTGATTCTCAGGGACCTTTAACAAAGAAGAATCCTGATGAAATTAAGGAAGTAATCGAAGACTTTCCAAGAATTCACAGGAATATCACAACCCTTATAATGATAGAGCTAGGGAAATCGAGAATTATGCTTCGGAAGATATCATGACCGGTTTGGCAATGTTGAATAACATGGATCAAAGAATGACAAAGATGGACAAATCCATGCACGCAATACGTGTGGATTGTGAGAACTGCAATGGGCGACATTTGACAAACGATCGTTATTTTGACGATAACGGGATTAGAAAAGCTCAAGGTTGCTACTATAGTAGAGACCACTTTGATGAATATTAGAGAAAGATGAAGAAGGAATGGTTTCCATATGATGAATACAAGGAAAAAAAATTATAGGCAAACCGGACGAGGTTTTTACCAAAAGGAACAACCACAACCTGAAAAGAAAGTAGACTAGGATTCAATCCTTTTCAGATTCATGGAAGTTTATGAAAAATTTCATGTTGTAACTAATGTTACAATGAGAAGCCAACAAGCTTCCATCAAGGACATTTAGAGTCAACTCGGTCAATTAACTACATTTCTTAACGAGCGGTTACCTCGTAAAAATCCCGATAATAAACTGCAACCAGTTGTTATGGTCATAACCACTAATGAAGAAATTATTTCTGAGTTCTTGGAGGCCTTGGAAGAAGAAACAAAGCAGCCTGAATCATAGCTAAATCGAAGGAAAATCAAAGAAAAAAATCATTGTTGAACACTGTCATGACGACACGAGGATTCAATCCTCACGACGTGGTCTCAGTCTGGGCAGAAAAATATTTTTTGTGCACAAGCTTATAAACCTTTGTTGCTATTTCCTTCTCAAGCTAGATTTCACATATTATAAAAAGAACATAAAAAGTTCATGCAAAAAGTTAAGGATATTATTTAACGACTCATTGGAAAATATTCTCGAATATGCCAAAAAGTTTCAAGATTTACGCGACACTCTCCAACAACTAGAGAAAACCTTCAAGTATTACTTAGTGAGAAAAGCTCCATGGTTATTATTGAGGGGATGCCAAGGAAAATGGGAGATCTCGGATGCCTTACACGTCAATGTGAATTTGGAAATAACACGAAGACATATGCTTTAGCTGATTTTGGAGCTAGTATACAGTTAATGCCATATTCATTCTACCAAACTCAACCTTATAGAACTTAAGGCTATTAAGATGATAATTCATATGGCTAATCCTTCAGTGACTCATCCTCGAGGTATAATTGAGGATATATTGGTAAAAATTGGAAAATTTATTTTTCCATTCGACTTTTTTATGCTAGATATGAAAGAGGATGAAGATGATCCTATTATCTTTGGACGCCCATTACCAAGTAGCCTGTGAGCCTTGGTGGATATTTGCGAGTGAAAGCTTACCTTACGAGTGGGAAATGAGTAGATGAGTTTGGAATTAAAGATGATTCAAGAAGGATTTTGGTCAAAATGAAGCATTCTTTATGGATAAAGAAAACGAGCTCAAGGAGTTAGAAAAATTGATGGAATATGAAATTCAAACAAGAGAACATGTGAAGAAAGTGAAGAATCTATTTGCTAAAGTGAGGATAAAGAAGATGAAATTACATAAAAATTGGGGATGGTAACTTTGGATAAGGTGGATGTTGAAGCTCGGGAGCTACAAAAAGAAAAAGGAGGACCTGAACTTACTGGGGGAAATAAAGGGTTGAAAAGAAAACATGAGGAAGGAGATATGAAAAATGAAAAAGGAAAATTACAAAAAAGCCTATTTAAGAAGGGTGCAAGCGTACAAGAAAAGGTGGAGGGAAGAGAAGGTGTAAATGGAGATTGTATCTCATCGTAATACCTTGTAGGGCGACATGGAGTCCGGATGATGACTATATAAAAAGAAGCGCTTCTTTGGAGGCATCCCGATCTCGGTTTGCATATTTTTCATTTTCCTTTTTGCATTTTTATTTGAGTTTTAGGATAAGTGATCATTATAGTCATCTTACTTTTCAAAGATAAGTAAAAAAATCAAGTTTGGGGTTCAATTTAAGAGTGGTTGAATTTTTTTTTAAAGAAAAGTAGAGTTTTTTGGTTAAAAAACCTCGATACCACGACATGAGAATAAGGCCCACGGCATGGTTAATTAATTAGACCAATTATTTTTCACTCATTTTCAAACTCATGACATAAGGTTTAACCCTTCACGGTGTGAGCTATAAAAAAATGGGTTGGGGGACCAATTTTAAACACAACTTTCAACATTAAGATATCCTTTTCAACCACACACATGAATGAACGGAAGAAGCAGCCCTATACTTTGATTTTGTATCGAGACTTTTCAAACTTCTCTTAATCTTGTGCTTAAACTTCAATTTCTGTAAGAACTCCAATATTTAATCTTATTAATTTCTTCTAATTTGATGCATTTAGTGTTGGGGTTTCTCTTGAAGCCTAAATGTCGAAATTTATTCCATATTATGCGATTTAGATGTTGCAAGTTACTTAAAAGGACTTAGAATCAAGTTTTAAGCAAACACTAAGCATACTTTTCAATTGATTTTACCACTGGGATGTTTGATGCTCGACTGTTCGTCCACCGAACTCACGATGTGGTCTTCAGCACCACGATGTGAAAAGTGGGTTTCTAGTTTAGCTGTTTATTTTAACTATTTGTTGGTGTTCTTGGTTTTGCTTGCTGTAGAATTTTTAGATACTTTGGGAACGAGGCATGCATTCCCTTAAGAGCAAGAACATGTTGATGTTCCTAGCTTACATCCAGTTTACCGTTTACCACAAACATCTTGTTGTCCATGAAAAACTACTATTAAAATAAATTTGGTTGGTTATATAATCGGGAATTTGCTTTAGCACCCGTGATTGATTGGTCATGGCTTGGTGGGGTAAGAATGGAACAGAATTGGAGAGATATTGTTGAAGCAAATAAAAATAGATCGATAGATTCTCAATAGTAATGTAAATCAAACAATAACAACAAAGTTCAAAGTTGTACTGAATGATTAAAATCAATGCCTTATAAGATCTCGATAGAGAACTTCTATAGTAAGGTACGGTAGGGAATCACAAAACGATTAACCAAAATACAATACATACATGTACTATTTATAGTCTAACACTAGCTGATAATGATACAAGGCTAGGCCCAACATGCTAATAATAAAGACTAATTACAAGCATTACGAAATTGACCCAACATAATAAATACCCCAACAATCTCCCCCTTTGTGTCAATAAGGAAGGAAAATTCTTCACTATTGAATGCGATTTTGAACCTTGAAAACCTTTGTCATTAATCCGAGCAAGTTATTACGAACTGTGATGTACATCATTATGTCTACAAAGCATATATTGTCAGCATCATCAATTTCCTTGAAAGATTCAGACAACCCCAAAACATATTCCAGACATGAAGTAGAATAAAGGTTTTTATCAGGCAAATAGAAACAACATCTTTGAACCTTCATACTAGCCCGATCTCGTTGTTTGTACATAATACTCCAATTGTCCTTCAGAAAATTTCCTTTCTGCATCTTGTCAAGATATTTCAAAGTTTCTTTAGATTGTGCAGTGGGTTTCTTTCTTAGAACCGCAACAATTTCCACATCCATTTTAGCAATCTCAAGTATGTATGAGACCAACATTATTTTCAAATGCTCCAAAATTGGCTCAAATTTCTGTGCATCATTTGACAAAAGAGAAAACAAAGAAATCCAATCATACTGATTTAAACAAGGTAGTCAGTGAGTGTGAACTCAAAGACTGAATTTCTTGATACTCGAACTTCCTTAAAACGAACATTCATAAAACTCTCAGTTTCAATGGGACCAATAACCTTAACAACATAAATTTTCTTTGAAGTCCATGTCTGGTACTGAGGCTTTCTATGTTTGAGATAAAAGGATATGAGCAAGATATTGGCACTGTTATCTAAATTTGGACCATTCACAACCTTGTCAAAACAGCAACACAAAAAATGCCTTCAAAGTAATAGGAAAATCTAGTTGCAACTTCAAAGTGTTCTCTAGTTCGAACGATGTAACTAGCTACAACCAATTCACATTCAGATTATCTATAGCTTCGTTTAAATTTCACTACCTTGACCAAGAAGGGAAGAGAGTTTTTCGAGTTTCTAGATTTAGTTGAGCATCATGAGCTCTCTCTCCTGAGCTTCAACTTCCCTAGCAACTCGTTGATTTCCATTGAGCTCTTGATCACGTTTCTTTCTTTTAAGTTGAGCCTCTTTGGACAGATCTTCTTCCTCTTCATCATCATCATCATCACCAACAATTAAATTTCCCTTTCCTCTAGATCTCGAAGCTACATTAACATTTAGATCTTTGGGCGTGGGTGGAGACATTGTTGTTTCATTTTCATCAAAACCACCAAAAGCTGGTTTCTGGACTTCTCCCCCTTGTTTTAGAAGTGAGCCCGACTCCGAGATACCTTCTCAATGGTTGAGTATTGAAAACACAGGCTTAAGTTTAACAACAAGATGTTGCTTGACAAAAACAGCGAGCAAAGAGTCATGTGTCTCGACTAGAGCCTGTAGGTAGCGGTTTACATCTGCAACAATGCTTTTCACAACAACCCTCTCAGATTTCGACTCATCAATTTGGACATTTTCATGAGATAGGTGTGTTGAAAGAACTTTAATCTTTTTGGTCTTGATTTCAAGCTTCTCCTTTAGTGAGTTTTCAATAGCAAGAATATCTTGAAGCTTTTTGATCTTTGAAACAACTGAAGTGATCATTTCTGCATTATCAGTTTGCATACCTGAACAGACTTTGGAAAGAGCTTCTTTTTTTGCTTGAATAATGGAACCAAGATTTGTAATCACTTTATTAGTAGCAACAATGTTGTTCTTAGATGAACTGTGAAACTCTTCCATAAACTGAATCGCATTAGCCAGTAGTTTGACTTTCTCGGTTGTTTCTTGAACAACCTTGTTAGAGTTTTCAAATACTTTCATAAAGCCTTGAAGTGTGTTGCCGTGCTGCTTGGTGAAAGTTTAAAATTATATCTTTGATAGTCTCAAAGAAGTATTCGGTGCTTGAAGAAGTTTTGGAAGACTCAAGGAGAGTATCCAACTTCTCATTAAGACCCTTGAATTGTCTTTTCGTAACAGGGGCATCATCATCACTTTCTTCTTGAATGTTGAAAGGACATAAGGTAAATTATTGTAAATCCTCCCGATCATCACCGAAAACTATACTGGATCATCCTTCCTTTAAGGTGAAACAAAAGATTAACCAAAACCAAGAGTAACACCAAAAGCTCTTGCCCCCGTATCAGATATGTTGACAGTCACTGGAGGTGAACTGGTAGTAGTTGTTGTTGTTGTGGTGGATTCAGTGTAGAAAGGAGTAGATAATGGAACTAAAACATGAGGTTATGAAACTTTGATGGAAACATTCGGACATAGAGAAAAGTTACCTTCGAATTGGTGCTAGTAGGAGTTGGTTATGAAGCTATCAGATGTGAGGTCACAACAGTGTCATCAGTTTCATGCTGGACTAGCGCTATTTTACAAACATCATATATGGTTTGAGACTCCGAATCCTCCTCGATTCTAGAATAAGGAGACCTTGGATTGCGAGCAGCTCTTTTGATTTTCTTCTTCAGAGTTTGAGCCGGTTCGGAAGGTCCAACCTTCGTTTTCCGTTTATCTCCCTTTTTAGGTTTGGAGGCCTCCTCCATTGCCTTTTGCATCATGTCAGTTAAAGGGAGAGGACCTAATGTAGACTTCTGGTGATACTCGTTTATGAGCTCAGTCACTACTAGAGAATAGTTTAGCATAGCTTCCAGAATTGATCTAACAAATGTGAACTTGGTGCGATCAGATACGATGAATTTTGAGGTATGGAAGATAGGAATCGTAGCATGAACCAAACCTTTAACTACTGGAATATTGTGGTGAGCGATAGCCCATTGAACAATAATGGTCTAGAATATTGCACATGAAATCTTCGACTGCCTGGTGGTTGATAAGGTACTTTGAACCAGGTGAGCCCAGAGGATGGACCCATAATCTACGTTAATTCTAGAGTATAGCCCATAGAGAATAGTGCATAAAAGTTTACTTACATTGTCTGAGTCTATAACTTGCTCTGAGAATCTTTTGAAGAGCAGAGTAAACAGACCATTCCACATCAGGGGGAGGTTAGGCTTCTTGAACTTGGAAATAATGGTTAGGTTTCCTAGATATCCCATCTGGAAGAACATCTCTAGAAGTGCAGAAGATGGGATTACCTTTGTATCAACCAAATCCCTTGATTGAGAAAACCCTAGCAGACAGCTAAACCAGGCTTCATAAATTGTGGTTTTGATGGAACCAATCTCAAAGGAAACCAGAGCTTCAATTTGTTGATAACGTGCAATAGAAAATGCCTTAGATAAAAGAACCAATGGAACACGCTCTGCCATTGTTGATAGCGTGACGAAGACACTCAATAAAAGGTTGATGAACTGCATCATACTTGGACGAATCGTGGTTAAGAGAGAGGTTTTGATTAGGCTTAATGCTTAGAAGCAATGATGAGGCGGTTTCATCAGCAACAAATGGGGTTTTTGAAGAAGCAACCATGGATACAGCTGAGAAGAATATGAACAATGTTGTATTTTGCTATAGAGATTTTGAGAGAGGTGAGAAAAGCAATCATTATATTTTCATTATAGAAGGTATGGATGGAGAGAGAGAAAGCTAGCTATAAAATGCTTAATTCCCTAAATAGTCACCTGAAAAAGCGTGACTGACAAGCGTGATGTCACGCGGTGTAACTGACAAAGCGTGATATCAGGAAAGTACACGCCCAATTTTGAAATCACATCCCTTAAATGCAGTTGTTTAAGTTCTACACGTACAAAGTAAAGCAACATTTGAAATTCACCATCATGCATCATAACTTATTCATGGAGTGGAACACAATCAATCGGAGTTAAGAACCAGACTTTGGAAACCCGCGAGGATTTTCGTGCAAGAGTGTGCCAAAGATAAATAAATAAAACAAAATATATTTGGGATTCGGCGATGTCAATATAAAATTAACATAAAAGTAGATGGATCTCGGGCAAGGATCTCTTCCTTCGGATTCAGTAGAGACTCAGAAGTGTCTGTGTGGTATCCTGTTAAATTATGATCATCTGATTGTTGAGAAACAATTAAAGGCTTCTTTTTATTAGGATCGTAGGGTAGCTTTATCTTCAACCAAACTCTGAAACTTAACATAAGTCTGATCGTTCAAAAGAAGTACTTGTCTGACCAGTGTCGTCATAATAACATGTATGCTTCGCAAATATTTAAGTGGCTAGACAAAATCGAAATCTCAAGAAAAATAAAAACTAGTTCTTTTGGGAAGAAATGTCGTAGGTTGAAAACATTCCATTAAGATCTCGCAAAAATAAAAGAATGAGATTTCAAGGTATGAACCACGAGGATTATATTTCGTTAATTCCATGGTGAAGAATCTAGAACATAGTAATTGTTCACTGTCAACTCAGAAATTGGTTTCATATTTGGGTCTCACTCAATCTGTGGTGACAACGAATTGAAGATCATAAACACAGAAATTGTGTAACCATAAACCTCAGTGGTAGTTTCTGAGTGTCTTAAGGGTTATGAATGCAAAATCGGAAGATAATCAAGAATATATTAGGTGGTTCTGTAGAGAAAATGTACCTCTGATATATTACGAATGACTAAGCCATCAACTCGTAACTCAATATGAGAAGAGTATTGTAGCTCATCGAATTATGTGAATATTAGCTTTATTGGGAACAAACATTCAGAGTGAAAGTTTCATTAAGGCTTCAACATAGAGCCTCAAAGACTTTGGTCAATATGCAACAACATTCTTCTAGGGACACTTACGTAGTTGAGTTGTATTTAAGTAATCGATTAAGAACAATAACAATCAATGTAATGAACTCAGAAAGTAAATAAGACTTTGAAGTTTGGATTACTCTCAATAAGCTCGATTACAAAACTGATAACGAAGTTGGAAAAACTCATATCTTTTAACCTAAGCTTAGTCCCTATTTATAGGAAAACAGAGAGTACAAAAATACTAAGTCTAAGACAATTAAGCTTCATTAGAAATGACTTAGCAAATATGTTACATATGAAATAGAAAATACACAATTTGACTCTTTACAAGATTTCAACCCTTACAATCTCCCCCTTTGTAAAAGAGTCGAACTACTCATTTTGTAAGAATCTGAGCAACGAAGTGCACCATCCTTCGTATCTACAAATACCATGATAAAACTATCCATAACTCCTTCTTGTCACCTTCATTGTTATTCGTGAAATTGTTCATATGAACTATAAAGTTCGTATATTGCGACGTTGTATACCTTTCCATCTCAGCAACTTGATAGAGAAACCTCTTTGCCTTCTCCTTTGTATCCTTTCCAGCTAGAAATAAACCAAGTGGTTTCAAACATATCTCTCCATCCGCATACTTCTTTAACTCAGTTTGTGGCTTTGAAGGTTCCATAGCTACTTCCACCTTTCTTCGAAGACCCGAAGCCAGCTCTTCGCCAGTCAAAGCAAAACAGTCATATTAATTATCAATGAAAATTTTGATCAATTCGAAAAAGATTTGGATCTGTTTCCTTGAGTTGAGATTCTTCCATATCTTTTAAAAGCAATGAAACTTGAATAAGATCATTCAATTTCATTAAAGGGAAGTCTGCAACGCTGAAGTCGACTGATTTGTTGTTTGCACAAATAAAAAAATACTTGAAATTTTGTAACATGTTTTCGAACATAACATCCTTCTTTATAGCAGTAACTTTATTGATCTTGATTAGGGACCACACTTCATCTTGATCTTTTCCAAGTACAACACGAAAACAAATTTTCATGTGTGTATAATCATCTGGGTTTTTGAACTTCTCACTGACTTTGTATTGTGCAGTGATGAACATCATTTCATTTATCGGAAAGTCCAACTGACTAAAATCTGTGTTAGCAATCGAATAGATCTTTCTCGGTTTCTTCTAAAAAGCATACATATGATTGAATGCAACTCTCGATTCGATTGATTAATACGAATGTACCCTCCTGGGATCACCTTTGTCCATACCAGGTTGATCATTTTCCCTTAGCCTCAAAATACTTTGAATACGTCTCTGAAGTTCAATTTCAGCCTCAGGTTCTGCATTTCAGCCTCAAGTTCTGCTTTCTTTTCTTCTTTTGTCTTTTTGATCAAAACACCTTTCCCTCTATCTTTCAAATCAGAATTCAATTTTGTAGAAATTGAACCAATACCCTCGTAATCGGTTTTGTGGTTGCAACAGTTGTTGAGATTGGGTCTAACTTTCATTGGGATTGACACAAGGATTTGTGTAGAAATCACCTTTCCAACAACTTTCAAATCTTTAGTTGTCTTCTTCTCACCTTCTCCCTTTTTATTCACATTCGTCCCTTTGCTCACTTTCTTTTCTCCCCCTTGCACCCCTGTGACAACAGGTGGGGCATTCTGTGGCAATATTTGAGGAAAGTTCGAAATGGGAGCAACAGCCTTCTGAATGAATTGATCAAGCACATTCAGCTTCTGAGTAAGAAACTCAGTAGTTAAAAAGGACTGTTGAGCAGGCTTTGATACAATATTTTTCAATTCAGAAAGTAACTCAACCAACTTTACAAATTGATCCTTTTCATCAGTGGAATTTGATTCGAACTGCAGCACAGTATCTTGAAAAGTCTTGATAAAATTCATAACTGCCCCAGCAATGATATCGACCTTCTCTTGAATTGAATTGTATTTAAAATGCCTATTATTAATCTTCTAAGAAACTTCCTTCTTCAACTCTTCAAGTTTCAAGTTGACATCTTCTCGAACCTTTTTAACATCTTTTACGAAAAGAACATGATGTTCCTTCGCAACAGTTTTCAATTCCTTCAAAGCTCTTTCAAAGTTCACTCCTTGAGCCTTTATTCGACTTTCATTATTATGATCATATTCATCTATATTGTTATGAAGTCTTCGTTTAGCAGCTTTTCTCATAACATCTACTTCAATACCCGAAACTGAGTGTTTTGCTCTAGAATCAGCTTGGGACTGAAGAATAGAGTTTAACTTCATGTTCAAGATGTTAAACTGCTTTCCTGACATTAATATATGATCAGGAATCTCCTCCTCTTCCAATCAAAGTGTAATTCATCGAGAGTTTCTCCTAAACCTCCACCTTATGTTTCATCGTCGGAATGAGGTTTAGATGGTTCTGTGGATTCGGATGGAAAAAGAGTAGTGATAGGTTGTTGAAGGATAGTGTCGAACAATGGAGACGAAGTAGAAGTAGATATGGGTGAAATGATTAGTGGTAACAAACCAAACCAAGTAGAACTGATGGGTGGTAATGAAGAAGAAAGAATAATAGGTTGTGAAATATCAAAACTCATTGTAAAATGTGCTCCCATATCAGATATGTTAGCAGTGATGTTAGAAATAGGAACCTACTCATGAACTGACTCAGTTATCACTATTTCGAGTGTAATAGTTGATGTAGGTGAAATGGTAGAAGCATCCGAAAATGAAGAAGTTATGGGAGTAAAAGTTACCATAGGAAGTGTCGAAACCAAAGGAGTATCAGGAATAATTTCATTCTCCGAGGAATCTTCTTTGATGACACTTTTTTTCTTGATTCGTTTCAGTGTGATATGCTTCGCAACATCTTAAGCACGTCTCTTTTTCGACAACAGAGCAGGAATTTCACGGATAACAACTCCTTTGCGATTAACTTGAGTCTTACGAACCGTCTGAGGTTCATCAGATGAAGTTCCTTTAGAGGATACTTTGCGTAACCGTTTAAGAACTCCAAATTTTGAAGGAACAATTTCTTTCGAAGGTTGATCTTCAATCTCTTCTACCTGCTTTGTATCATCACCCTTGACTTTCTTTGGTGAAGATTTCAACTTTTGAACTTGTACATCACCACCATCAGACTTCTTCTTCTTTGATGGCTTTGAAGATCCTGCTTCGATTTCAAGCAACACCCCAGTTACCACATATGGGTTTACACTCTTCAGATACCTCACAAGAATATTGTGAGTAGGATTCACTTTCTTGAGCATTGCATTAGGAATGCGTGCAACACTTGTAAAGATTTTCTCATCATCAACAACTATCTTGGAAAATGATATGTCGTGAATTCAATAGTATCCTCTCCCTTAGGGACTTGATTTCCCTCTTTCCCATATACCTTTTCCAAGATCAAACTCCAGTATCAGTCACAAGAAATTCCCTTAGCCACACTTGTTCTTGCCAAACTTTTCGTGAACTCCTCCCACAACTCAGTAGCATAATCCACACTCAATTCGTAATATAAACCCATTACCATTGCATAGACTTCTAGTCTTCCCTTGTCAAGACCCACACTACTGCCTGCTAAACATCGGAGGAAAATTCCAAACAAGAAATTCCAGATACAAGGAATCCTAGACTTTTTGAAATTGCTTATCTTTTCAAGTGGTGACCGGTGACCCATCTCGTTGAACATATGTATGATTTGAGGGTTTGTAGGTTTGAAGAATGGTGGGGAATCGGGAATCTCCAAAAACTGATAAAACATCTTCTTGGT